TTATTGCGAAATAGGAGCACTATTTATCAATCTGTAATAAAAGACGTGAGGAAATTCTGTCTTTTTTAAAGACAAAAATTTTTGAGCCGAAATACACAAAAAGATGTTTGTAAAAAAATGAATCCGCCTCAACAATATAGAACTTATCTAGGATATTATTTACCTAGGGCGAAAAGTGAGCTATTATATACCGAGCACTTTTTATATCCTTGGAGGCGTGGCGCGAGGTCGCCTTCTCGACCGAAGTGTAGAATATATARATTTTTTTTTTACWACAATCACCGGTAATTGCCTTAATTGATTTAATTAGATTTTGAATTTCCCACTCATTTCCTGAAGTGTCACAATATTTGACGCGTGACGTTCAGTTGTCAAACTGACAAACTGCCGCAATATAATTTATCGGTCTGCAGAAAATCGTTAAAAGTTCAATGAAAAACTTCTGGAAAAAGCGAAAAATTTGTGAACCGTAGAGAGTCTCTCCCTAGGGAATTCCCTAGGAATACGACTTCTCACTAGGAAAATGGAGTGGTGTTCACTCCTCAGGTTAGTAGTAAAAAATACATTTTAGATACTTTGAAAAGTTCTCGCGGCAACTGCTTGAAACGCGAGGTGTGCTATAGGTGGCATGAACACCTCTGAAGATGCAAGTGAGTCGTGATTGCAAAACGTGAGCAAGAAATTATTTTGCACGAAAAGCTGCCTAAACGGGCGAAAAACGTCTAACCTGATCTTTAGTCCAATCGTTGACCGGTGTTGAGTGCCAAAAGTGCGAGCCACGTTTGTCGCTCACAATGCTGCAGGAGGACAGGCTCAGATCCGTGGTGGCCCATGAAGTGTCGTGCCTTGAGGGGGAAACTGAGCCGGAACTGAGACTGGAAGGAGAAGGAGGCTCAGGCGACGTGTTGCCCTGATGATGCCACGGCGTGCTACCAGGCGGCGACAGCGTAACAGGAACGACTTTCTTAACTAAAACAGTCCCGCAAAGCTTAGCCAGAAAATCCCGACCTCAATCGTCTCAGCCCCGTACCTTTAGCGTTGGCTTCACTCACTGCTTGTCGGATTTCCTCAAGCAAATGATGAGCCGGATCGCTTTTGGATTTTTCGTTCAGCTCATCGGTGGAACTGGTCGCGCTGTCGCTACCCAGTCTTTTTTCTCTCTCGGCTAGTACCTGCGCCAATCAAAAACCCCGGTTATATCCAGATCGGCGGCATGTCGGCACTGATTGGCTTACTTGCTTCAGTTGTTCGGCCAATGAGGCCGGTGGACCTACGCTGATCGCTCCCTTGCCGCCTCCAGTCGCCCCACTTTCCGACCACGTCACTTCGTCCGTCCTCTCTCTCTGCTCTTTCTGCACCCGAGCGTAAACCACGCCGGCAGATTGGCTGCCAGTGACGTTCTAGAAACAAACAGTTTCCTTCTGAATAGCTCTCAAAAACTCAATCAAATTGCACGACATTCTCACTTTTGCGCGCTTTGCAAACATGAGTCCAAAAGTTACTAGTGTATTGAAAGGCAGAGTAACGATTAGTAACACACACACACAAACACACGGGTGGAATTAGTAAAGTGGGCGTACCTGCGCCGAGTGGTGGGTGCTGGCTTTTTGCACTTCGCTGTACTGGACGGCGTACTGCTCGAACTGCTGCTGGTGCGAGCGCTGCTGCGATTGCTGGTGTTGGACACTAGTGTATTGCTAAACGTGGGCGACACAAACACAGATTTGTAAATGAGTGCATTTTGAAAGGCGCAGACTAAACAAGCGCAGAGTGGTTGAGTGATCGTACTATGGAAGACCTCACCAGTGTACTATAAAGTGCTCCCATCAACTACTGTTAGAAAGAGAAGAGACTGTACAAGTGTGGTCGGTCTATTTACATGTTGGTTGATCTGGAGCTGTTGAGTCAAGCCACGTCCATGCAAAGTCAATTGGGACTCCATAAGCGTTGTCTCAGCCCCAGTTGACTGTGCATGGAGTTTACGCCACTTTAGCCACCCTCGTGAAGCCTCCAATGACGATCAGAGTCAGCGACAAGCCACATACCGGTTGAATGATATAATGGGGGTTAGTGCTTAGCGATGTGGGTCTGGAGCTCGCATTAGATGGGGGATTCGCGGCGTTGTTAGAGTGCTTGGCCCTGGGCGAGTAAGTAGCTGAGTCAGTGAGCTCGTCGGCGGAATTGTAGCTCTCGTCCAGCCCGTAATCAGAGCTGCTGTTGCTTAGGGAGCCCTTTTTCACGCTGGGTAACTGCCGATTGGCTAGCGAGCTGCGCGTCGCCAGCTCTGCCTTGCTTTTTGTCGCTGTTATGTCTAAGAGTTCGTGGGGTGGTACCTAAAACGTTACTTTTCAGCTGCACGCCTTAGCTTCAATGCTGCAAGAACCCGCTTATTCATGCTTTCGCTTCTAGCTAGGTGCTCTACTGATACAGGATGTCCTTTTGGCCAAACTCTGTGTCGGACACCCTGTATGTAACGTGCAGATAGACGCGAAGTGTTCCAGTAATGAATGACACAGCTTTACACAGGCCTTCGAACAAGAGGGATTTACATCAACCAAACCGGCTTAATAAACGTGTTGTAGCATGCAGTGGAAGGTTTTTGTTCTTGAAAAAACAACCAACAACGATATCGTGGACTCTTTCCAGCCATAAAAACCCATTGAATCACACCCACCGGACTAAAACTAGTCAATTCGAGGGCGGTTTGAAAACCATTGGCTTTTTCATCAAGTTGCAACATGCAGATAAAACACCGGTTTTACACCGGGTGATTTACGTTGAGTGTTCTTTCTATTGGGCGTTTATGGGCTTTGCCAATTGAAGACTCCCATCACTGCTGTGGTATTCACAGTCTAAACAACCACGTCGAAAAATCATTGAAATTTCGGAAAAATATGTGCTTTCTGGTCAACGAAAAACGCCACTTGATTTCTGAGCTTCAAAAACGCAATGTTAAGCCGAAACACATATTTTGAGTCTCAAATAAAAAATCCTAACTTTGAATCCAAAGCCAATAGGAAGTGGAAATTTTGGTGTTAAATGGAAGACACTTGAGACTAAAATTCCTGAAAAGCTCAATGAAATCGCATCAAAATCTGATCTTTGCGCGCTCAGCGCGCAGAATGTCAGCTCGGAAATAATCCGTTTCAGGCAAGTGCAGACTTCCAATTAAAAAATCCTAACTTCCACTCTAAAGCCCGTAGGAACTGGAAATGTCGGGGTTATATGGAAGAGACTTGAGTCTAAAATCCCTGAAAAGTTCATTGAAATCGCACCAAAATCGTTGCTTTTGCGACTTTACTCCGCTAAGCAAATGTGGGTTCGAACATGGACGACTTTTCCCAACTGTAGATTCACAAAAAAAATTCTAAGTTCGATTCCATAGCTAGTAGGAACTTGCAATTGCGGCGTTACATAGAAGACACTTGAGACTAAAATTCCTGAAAAGCTCAATGAAATTGCATCAAAATCTGACTTTTGCGCGCTCAGCGAATGTGAGCTCGAAAATAATCTGCTTCAGGCAAGTGCAGACTTCCAATTAAAAAAATTCTAACTTCCAATCTAAAGCCAGTAGGAACTGGAAATTTCGGCGTTATATAGAAGAATCCCTGAAAAGTTCATTGAAATCGCACTAAAATCGTACTAAAATGTGGATTCGAAGATGGACGGTTTTTCGCAACTGCAGATTCACAAATAAAAAATTCGAACTTTGAATGCATACCAAGTAGAAACTTGCAATTTCGGCGTTACATAGAAGACACTTGGATCTAAAATCCATGAAAAGCTCATTGAAATCGCACTAAAATCGTTGCTTTTACAACTTTAGCTCGCTAAGCAAATGTGGATTCGAAGATTGACGGTTTTTTGCAACTGCAGATTCACAAATAACAAATTCGAACTTTGAATGCATACCAAGTAGGAACTTGCAATTTCGGCATTACATAGAAGACACTTGAATCTAAAATACCTGAAAAGCTCATTAAAATCACACCAAAATCTGACTTTTATGCGCTCAGCAAGAGTCCGAAAATAATCGGTTTCAGGCAAGTGCATATTTCCAATTTAAAAAATCCTAACTTCCAATCTAAAGCCAGTAGGAACTGGAAATTTCGGCGTTATAGAGAAGACTCTTGAATCTAAAATCCTTGAAGTTTATTGAAATCGCACTAAAATCGTTGCTTTTGCAACTTTAGCTCGCTAAGCAAATGTGGATTCGAAGATGGACGGGTTTTCGCAACTGCAGATTCACAAATAAAAGATTCGAACTTTGAATGCATAACAAGTAGGAACTTGCAATTTCGGCGTTACATAGAAGAGACTTGAATCTAAAATACCTGAAAAGCTCATTAAAATCACACCAAAATCTGACTTTTATGCGCTCAGCAAGAGTCCGAAAATAATCGGTTTCAGGCAAGTGCATATTTTCAATTTAAAAAATCCTAACTTCCAATCTAAAGCCAGTAGGAACTGGAAATTTCGGCGCTATAGAGAAGACTCTTGAGTCTAAAATCCATGAAAAGTCCGTTCTGTGATTTTTAATGCTTACCTCACTCCCAAAATTAACATTTTTCTGGAAGTTTCTAGAGCGTAGCAATGTTTTGGACCTTTTCGGGGCGTTTATAATGGGCTAATCGACATTGAAGGTGACTAGTTATTAGCAAAAAACTTAACCACCCGAACACTCACCGTGAATCAGCCAGTGTATTACAGTAAACCGAGTTAGATTCTCGTAACTTACACCGAACCAATGCCCTCTTGTTAGAAATGCAGCCGTAAGAATGAAAGATTGCCAAACCTGTTACATACCGCACGATCGAGTTCTTCTTTGGCCGGCAGCTTGCGCTCAACGGTGGCCGTCTTGTCCTCGTCCGGACTCTGATCGGACACTTCCGTGTCCGAAAAGTCCGGATTCAGGGACTGGAAAAATGGCTTGGGGGGCTCGCGGCGCGCCATTTGCGGCGTCAACTGCTTGGCGTTGTTCCGATCGTAGGGCAGCACCATTGGCAGTCCGGCTTTTCTCTGAGTATCTGGACAAACACACAAAACATCAGTGCTTTAATCGCGCAAAGGAAGTAGCTTTTCCATACCAAGCAGGTCCTGCTCCAGTGCAATGATGCGATCCTTGAGGTTCTTGACCAGCGCATTGTAGTCGGTGTCTTTCTCCTGCAGCAGCTGCTGGTAAAAGTCCTCGCGATGCAACAGATCCAACTCGCGCCTCTGAAACTCCCTGACCAGCATCTTGGCCTTGCTGTACTTCTTCTCCAGCGACTGGTATTGGGTTTGCGACTGTTCCAGCATGTTCTGGAACGTTTGCACCTCCTTCCTAGTGGCGACCAGCTGCCGTTCTGCGTCGCGAAGTCGCCCGTTCACCTGCTCGAACTTTTCCGAATCGTCCGGCTTCATCCCATTTTGCTCCATTATCTGGATGAACGATTGGTTTAGTGAGTTTTGCGACTCGAACCAGCAATTAATTAAATCAAGCACAAACACCAGCAGTAGCTATTAAGCGAACAAACACCTACCTTGGACTTAAGTCTTGCAACCTCATGCTCAGACAATCTTAGCTTGCGTTGCGTCTGCATAACATATAATACAACAAACGTTATTGACATCAACAAACCAACTAGTTGGGAATAACTTAGTCGCCAAATTTCACTGATTTCAACAAGAGAAAATTCATGCCTCAGTATTTTCCTAGAGAATGAACCATTCCAGTTCTCTCTGGGCCCTAGACGAGAAGTTTTTATGCAGGTCTATTTTTTCACGCTCAAAGGTCGTTGTGTACCTCTCCAACCCGCTACGAGAACCGACAATATCTGCATATTATATATAGAAAAATAGACTAAAAACCGAACTCTTCCAGTAAGTCCTAAAAATAACATTTAGGAATGTTTTCCGGGCTTTGAAGCCGTGGTCTATAGGAATTTCTTCCTGACGTTTCGTCCACAACTGCGGTGGACATTTTCAAAGGCGATGAGGCAGTGGGCGAAGTGATCTCCCGTGCTTTCCGACTAAGACTGAGTCGGAAAGCACGGAAAGCACCACCCACTGCCTCATCGCCTTTGAAAATGTCCACCGCAGTTGTGGACGAAACGTCAGGAAGAAATTTCGATAGACCACGGCTTCAAAGCCCGGAAAACATTCCTAAATGTGATTTAACTGGCCGTGAAAGCCTTCATAGTCTGATAAGTCCTAAAAATATATGACTACGCTCTTGAATCACCGTGTAGATTAAGCGCAAGTTCCGAATGATGACCCAAAAACCTCTGTGATTGTGGGGAAATTCTTATCGSCTTCTGACCGGTTATCTGTTCAACGAATGGCTTCCTTCGCTACCATTTCTTCGCTTGTCTGTGGAATGCGCGTTGATTTCATGGTCAATATTATTGAAGATTCTAGAGCAGACGTGGTACAACTAGTACTGTTCGCGTGCTTCGTGTGCAAACATGTGGAATTCCAAAGCAAAAACTGTGTGCCTGTGGCTGGTCATTGTTGTTCTTAGTCAGTTGGCCGAAGGCCGGAGAGGTAAGAGAAAAGTGCACGATTTATTTAAATATTTGCCGGGCAACCCACTAAGGTAGGAAGCAATCCGGTATTCTCTTCAAGGCAATTTGCGTCTTCTCAGAACACAAACAAGTCAATTCTAACAATTATTTGCGTTGATGAAACCAATGTGAATCACACAATGCATCAATATTGATCTCAAGTCAGCTTTCAACTAATCAGTTAGCGGAGGTCGAAGACCAACTGGAACTGGGTCTCGAGGCACTCACGGACATCCGGCCAGTTTGTCTTATCCAAATTGGCGTCCAGCATCCAGGACAACGCACCAACCCTTCAGGCCACCGCAACCAACCAGACCTCCACCAGGTAGTGGTTTTCCACAAATAACCAGCATTTTTAAAACACCTTCAATCGGCAGTTTGGAACCATGCAAGCATCGGCGCAGTTGGACCTCCAGCGCCGAACAACCACCAGAACATCAATCCTGCAAGCATCGGTTTTAAGGACGCAAACCACGGGCCAGGTGAGGTTTTCCCGTACCGGGTGTCTGGAAACAGTGGGGAATTTTCAGGGAAATTGTCCAAAAAATTGAATCTCCCATAAGCCTCCAGAAGAACTATTAATCTCATGTCATTCTCTGCTTCTGGGCGCTTATAACGAACGGTACCTACATGGCAACTTTACCCTTAAGTAGTCAATGGGCATATGGTACCTCCTAATGAACGCGCCCAGCAAGTAAAACCGCTGAACAGTGGAAAGAATCCAAGTTTCGAACCCAGCGCACCGCCGTTTGAGCATGGAACCCACTCTAATCCCGCGCCACCAATCGGGTTCAAGGCGACTGGTCGCAATGATGGTAAGCGACTTCCATTGGACACTTCATTCCATTGCTCTTTCCCATGGACAATCACCCCAATCAGGTCGCCAGCATCTTTTGATTATGTTCAGACATTTGGAGGCTTTCTCATGCAACGGGTCCTGGGCGTTTTTCTTCTCTGTCCTAATTGCACCTTTGATCTTACGCAGGTACGCCTGCAACTCACATGAAGGGCGCCGGAACCCCCAATGAAAACCTCCAGCATGTGAAACCCCTGGAAAATGGCAGGAATCGGAACTACGAGCCCAGCGCCCCTCCAGCTGAACCTGCCAGCCGGTTTCATCCTGCACCCCCTATTGGGTTCAAAGGGAGTGCTCCTTACGTTGGTAGGTGGCCCCTTTTCTTCGGTCTAGTACCCCACAACGCTTACAAATTGCAGCTCCTCCTCCTTATACACCACACCATGCTGCGGTGGCGCCTCCCGCCTACTCGCCAGCCCAAAATCCGGCCGGTTACGGCCCCCCGCCTGCCTACCACCCGTACTCCAACGGGGGAGCGCCCTACCCTCAACAGCAGTACCACCAACCAGGTACATTCATTCCGGCCTAGGGTATTCGGCCCTTCATTGGCTCCTCACTTCGCAGGCTACCCCTACCCGAACAGTCCGCACTATGGAAGTGGCGGCATGACCAACATCCACGTAACCAACATCAACACCAACAATCATCACTACAATGAAGGGTATGGCGGCGGGTTTGGAGGGTTTGGAGGCTACAGTTACCCCAGCTATCACTACTCGAGCAACGACTTGGGGAGTGGAACCTTGGGCTTTTTCCTCGGGTACTCGCTGGCTAAAATCACCACGCCCACTTTCCACCACCATTCGTTCTACGACGGGTACACCCCCAGGTAGTTACGCATCAAGCTTGGTTTTCATGAGTCCGGATGAGAATGAGATGAAAATGAGAACGAATGAGAATGAGACTGCCCCATGAGAACCCGGCGGAAAGTAGGCGCACTTTGATGGTTTAATGCCGGTTGCAGGTACGACCACTACGAGATCCACCACTACTACCACAACTCGGGGACGGTGCCCGCGCAAAGTACCATCCAACCCAACGCCATCGTGGGCTGTGTGGGGGACAGCGGCAGCATTTGCCCCCAAGGAACGTCGTCGCTTTGCACCAACAACGGCGCGATTTTATGCGTGGCGAGCGCCGCCAGTACCGTGCCATGCACCGATGCCGCGCAGGGCAATTGCGTGCGAACCGTGATGCCGTGCGTGAATGGAACCCAAGACTGCACAGTGGGCAGCAACACCACTCTGGCCATTCCCTGCATCTCCAAAGCTCAAGTCCCGGGAAATGTCACCTACGTTAATAACACGGTCATCGTCAACCACACTACCATTATAAACAACTTCGCAAATGGTACCAGTCTGAATGAGACTGTAACTAGCGCGAACAGCACTAGTGGGAACACTGTTAACGGCACTGCAGTCGAGTTGTCAGTGCTCAATATCACCACGCCTGTTAATGGCACTGAGCCCAATGCGAACACTACCCGGTCCAGAAGAGACACGCCCGCCCAGCCAGTTAACGAGTTTTGCGTCACGATTCTGGCGCTACCTGCCGAGAAAAAGCCCAGCACGCAAGAGCAACTGCTGGAGAAGAGCACCAATGTTTTTGCCAAATTTTTCGTCCGAGCCTTAGGCGCCAACTAGTTTGATTTAGCGTTGTATTGTGGGCTTTATGTTTATACCCTTGTAACATGCAGGCCGACTTTGTTTCTTTGGGGGCCAAGTTATTCCTAATTCCTAACACATAAATCGGTATGCGAAGACAATCACCATCGGGGCGCCGGTCCAACTAAGTGATTAGAGTTTCGGCGATCCGCTGGAGAATGACTACACACGCCGGCCATAAACTCGCACAAGAACAACAAGCGAAAAGGCACACACATCCACTTACCTCTTGTAGAAGATTTCTGAGCGACTCGGAATTATCCTGCTCGCTTTCAAAGACACAGTCCTGGTTCACCGTTGGGCTCACTGGACCATCACTCACGCTCGTATTGGTCGAGCCTGGAAGAAACCGGGAGTATTGGAGCGCAAGAAAAACAGTGGATTCGGTAAATTTTACCTGTTAGCTGAACAGTGCTGGTGTCGCTCTGCTGTTGTTCAGCGTCCATCATGCGCTGCCTTCGATCTTCCCTCTCTCTGTCCGCTTGCAGTGACTGTCGGATCAGCTGCGCCACTTCGCTATTATCGGGATCTCGTTCTCTACCTGGATACCAATTTTTTGCCGTCAGATAAACATCAATAAGTCCCTTGAAAGACTCACCGATACTAAACTTGACCAATCCCGAGGTGTTCCTCAGCACACTAGCAGCATAAGCCTGAGTCACGCCCACCAAGCTTTTCCCGTCCACCTCGATGATTTGGTCGTTGACTTTGATGCGACCGTCTTTTGCGGCCGCCCCGTTTGCCGTTATGGTTTTGACGAAAATGCCTGCAAATTGCCAGCAACTTTAGCAGAAATTGAGCTTGTTTTGCAATAGTTTTACCGAGCTTTTCTAGGCCAGCGTCCGCTCCCACGCCCATTCCAATGATGCTCAGTCCCAATCCCTCGGGGCCTTTGATCAGTTCCACTGGAAAAACCTCCATTTTCTCCACTCGCTTTTCCAGCTCGTACTCGGCCGAGGCTGCCACTGGATCAACGTCTTCATTCCGCCTGCATAAAAGTATGTTTTAAATGTCCGCTTTTTCATCCATCAACTTTTTAAGGATTAGCAATTTATAAGAAAACCGCAATAGAAAACGACGGTTCTCGAGACGCTCTATCGAAAATATTCTAGTAGGTAATTGAGCCTTCAACCATCTCCGAGATATTGATGAAAATCTTCCAGAATTCCTCAAATTTCGGGCCAATCTCCTTTGAGCTTAAAAATTCGCCATTATCGCCCGATGATTAAAAAATCGGCTGCTGTAAGTGGCAAAAGTTTAGATTTTGAGTCATCATCAGGCAGCTTTTAGGAATTTTCAAACTCGCGATTGATTTCGGCGCTTATTTAGGCTGGAAGGAACTTTCAAATTTTTTTACTGAGGAACTAAAAGGGATCGAGAGTCGCTTTTGGTTTGATTTTGTATAGAAAATTTGCTTTTGTAAGTGGCAAAAGTTTCGACCTAAGAGCCATCGTCAGGCAGTATTTAAAGAATCTTCAAATCCGCTATTTTTTTGGAGCTTGTTTAGGCTTATCGGGCTTTCGAATTAATTTCCTCGGGGACTAAAGAGGCTCAAGAATTGCTTTGGGTTCAATTTTGTAGAGAAAATCACGCTCCCTCATAGGCACAAGTTTCACTTACCGGTCATAGTCCGATATGCTAAACGTGGAAAACACACGAATAGGATGCGTGGAAAAGATGACTTTGGTCGGTTTGGGTACGTATACTGGATACTCTAAGTCGTCATCCTCCTCCTCTGGAGGCAAACCTGGCACCTCCATCCAAAAGTGCCCGTCCTCATAGTAGTGCACGCCATGCTCCACTCCCACAATACTTACAGGCTTGGGCACAAAGTCGCTCACTCCTTCGCTCCCCGTTTCCAGATTGTTCGCCTCCGACGTGCTAGTTACCGAATCTAGGAACGCAATTGTGACCTCAAATAGCTTGAGAATGATCCAGCGCTTACCAATCAGCCCGGAGTCCGAAGCCGAAAAGCTTGCCTCCAGTTTGGAATGGCTAATAAACTCCTCCTCATCTTGCGTGGACGTGTCCAGACTGGATGTGGACTCGTAGTACTGCGACAAAGGCTCCATGTCCTTTTTGTTGTCGATCATGAAGTTCCTCTGGAGCTCTTGCATGGAATCGGTAACTGACTCCTCCTGGAGGGAGGGCGGCCCTAAAGTGGTAGATTTCAGCAAACCCCGCGGAAAAATCCTGCTACTGCTTACCTAAACTGTCGTTCAAAGAAACGGGGCCAGATGAATTGTGCACTGACGCAGTGATGGAGTCTTGCAACAGCGAACTGGTGTTGTACGGCCATTTGTGGATTTTTTGCTCTTTGGCGTGCAACAGTCTGGTCACTTCTTGGGCTTCTTCGTCTGATAGCAGATCAGGCCTGCAAAGCAATATTAGGAGTTGATTGATTGATGGAAATTTCCAATCTAAAACTGCATGGAGAATGTGGAGCATGGATGTAAATCCTGGTCTGGTGCTCCATACGCTCTATCAATATCATCCAAAGCGGAAAACTGTGGATTATCTGCAACACTAAGTTCCCGTTCATGGTTTAGTTGCAAGTTTCCACCCGCCAGTGCGTTTGTTTGGAGAAAAGCTATTTTTAATCCGGAAATGCCAGAATGGACAACCTAAGCTAGTATACAAAAACGTGTTAATTCCCAGATAGACAAACATTCGCGCCCTTTAGAGCCACTTTAGTGGCAGGTTACACATATATAGAGCCCAAGCAGGAGCAGATGACTGGGAAGTTGTTACCACCGCCTGTACCCATTAAACGCTGAACGAAGACTGAAGGTAAGCTTGATGTACAGCGTGGCTAAAAGAGTAGCAATTCAACAAAACGTGCAATTAGGCCATAGAGCTTTTAATTGACTGAACTATTTTAACCGCCCTGTACAAAACGGGATGTTATTCGGTTCGAGGAGTGTGAACAAATCAAACAAGACAGGTGTGAGTGACTGTGTTAAGACGTTGACCTCCCAGCCCAGTTTACGTGAACGTTCAACTCACCTAACTTTCTTCTCCAGAATTCTATACGTAAAGAGCACCATTATGGAACAAATCAATCAGTTGCGTGACTATTAAAAAAAATCTGGGGTCACTCACTTTGAGCTGAGCAGATTATCGGCTTCATCCGGAGTCATGGCGTCTGCCTCTGATGACTTGGCCTGCTCATCGGCAAACTCCAGATCATTGGAATCGAGAATTATCGCCTCTGAGCGTTGAATTTCCGGGCTGCGGGCAGCTTTTTCCGTCTGCAACACCTCCCTGCTGATGATGAACGGTTCGGGGCGCAGATTGTCGCTGTCCTCGCGCTCCTTATTAAGGAAAGTCTGGCAATTCTTCTCGAAACTCTCCTGGCTTTCCAGCTCGGATAGCACGGAGTTGACCACCGGCGGCTGGTTGTGGTAGATCACGTCCGAATCGATAGACTGTTGCGCTGGAATCACTGTTACTTGCGACACATCCGAATCGGTCGAAGTCACTGATTTCTGATGGAACATGCTTGGGGATCGATATGGGACTGCGTAGTCTGCATCCGAACCAGTGGGCGAAACTGACTTGGCAAAGTCCAGACTCTGGACTTCGGTCACCTGCAACAAAACAGGTGGAGTTGTAAGGGGATTGTGGCAAGTTGCACAGTGCAACCTACTGAATAGAGTCTTTTTTCAGCGGGCCCGCTTGAGTTGCTCTTGTTCTTGTTGGGCACGGCGTACAAAGCTTCGATTTCCGCCTGTGTGAGTTTGACGGGATTGTCCGCGATAACTTCCCCTTCAGAATATTCATTCACGTCTTCAGGTGAAGAGTTGTCGTTAATCTCCACTGGGATGTCTTCGTTTATCGGGAAATCGTACAGCGATTCTTCATGTGGCTTTAGTCGGGCCTCGATCTTCGGCGACGGCTCGTTGAAACCGCCTAGAATTCAAAAGCCAGTTAGAGTAGTAGAGTTACAGACGCAAATGTTTTCTTTAGCCTGTGAAAAACTCACGTTGCCACATGCTTTGGACTAGAAGTTACGAATTTTTAAAGCAAATGTGCCATTTTAGGAAACCGTTAATTTTTGGACAACAGTTCACTAGGCTTTTTGACCTGATACTGACCTTCATCTGAAGTAGTTATAATTGAAGATGGTCGGCTTCCTAGGCCAGCAGCAGGAATGTTAAGGCAAATACTGGAAACTTTCGTTCGTCTTGGCACAACCAAAGGATCGTCAGTCTTACTCTCTTTGTGGATATCACTATGATCTGAAAAAGCAATAAATAACATTTTTACTGGTCATTCTTCAGTATACGAGGGAGCATCGATGTTTACCAGATCTGGCCGCCCAATAAATTTCATTTAGAAAAAAGAAATGACTAACCACAGTAAAAGAGTGAATTATTAATCGGCGTCTGAGGCCTAAATGTGCAGGTGTAAACGTGTGGGCAGTCGCCCCACATTTAACCAAATCAATGCCATTCCGATTGACTTTTGCCGCCGGATTCTGGGTTTCTAGGCTGTATTATTCAATATTTGCTATTCCTAACACTGTTCGCTATTCGGTTGCACTGAATAAATACCACATTAGTTAGTGAACACACGGAAATCAAGTGTGTACATACGCACAGTATAGGTGCTAAACCATATGTATGTTCGGTGACACAAACGTGCAAATACTTGGAAATTGATTAATAAATAGCTGCAATCTTATTGAGCTCTGTTTAACGCTCTTCGGGGGCTGCGGAACAACCCTTCATCCTAATAAGAATAACTACAAATGCATGCCGCCTTGGCACAACAAGAAACAGTTGCTGTTAAAGCAGGCTAACAGATGGTTTTACTGAAAGAATCTGAAAATACCAGCTTTAGCATTTAATAATCTGCTTAATTGCCCGCATCTACTTTATCAGCTCGATGCTGGAAAGCTTGATGTTATTGTGTCTGTTTTCTATTCCGCGACGGCCAAAAGACTCAGACAGTTTCAAGGAAAATTGATTGGGAACTGGTGAGTTTTCCTGATTAAACGCTTCGATGACAAAAGTATCTTGCAATTAAATTACCGCTATAACTTTCAAATGTTTATCAATTTGCTGGCATTAATATGAATAGTTCAACAAAGTGAATACATAAGTGCAATTCAGCAAAAAATCTCTCTAACTGCCCACTGATAAGCTGCAAATGGCTGAACCACCTGCATACATTGAAATGTGCTCTGTGGTGGTGGTTAGGAGTAGTTTTTCCTCCACGGCCTCCCAAATTATGTCGCAATACAATAAAATAAGGACAAATGAACAAAACCATGTTGGTTGTGTTATTTTCACTGTAAATGAGCACGACTTTTTTACGAGTCAAAGGGAGTTTGTGTCTATATCCTCATAAATGAAGCAAAAGCTCGACTTAATTAAACTCGTTCCGACCGCAGGCTAATGAAAAACACTAATTAAAATCGCGTTCAACCGTAAAAATTGTTGAATAATCGCAAGGTTTATTTAGTAATCAGTTTTCATGGCTGGCGGATTCACATCATCTCAGATCAGCTTAATTAATGCTCACGTTGATTGCATGGGTTCAAAAATAAATGCACTCTCAAAAATTAGTTCCAGAGATTGTCACGCCTTAAATTCGGTCAGTTTAAATGGAAAGCACCCCTGAATACTACCCTGTCTTTTTCTGGTAAAAGGCAACCAACAATACACATGTTGGCATCGATAGCCCTTGGGTAACAGACAGGGGCGGCTTGAACTTGATTTCCATCGTGAATAAATGCAATAAAAAGTGAGTTATGCAGGGTGAAAAAGAATTTTAAAAAATTTCTATAAATGGTCTAAACATTCCTAATTTCGGTTGAGAGATTTTGCTATTAAATCTTTTAAGCGAATCGCCTTGGAAAACCGTATAGTTGATCCAAACGCCACATTGTGGACAAAGTGACTCAATATTGGAACAGCTAAAAGCTATATTTGAATCATCATGGCAATTGGAGTCTATTCCTGGAAATGGAAGCGCCAGCCGGCAGTAACTACACTACCCAAACCACATTGGAAAATACACTAGTTGTTAGTGTTAGTTAGGCTAGAAAGAGTCGACAGCTATATACAAGTAAATAAATAAACAAGATGAGCTCGAGATCACACAAGTCTGAAGCAAGAAAGCTGATATTGCATAAACAGGAAGTAGCTGTTAACCGTGAACCAGCCAGGCTTCACAACAAACAAACACACAGTGCGAAGAATTACAAACCTGAACAATCTAAACACAACAGTCTGATTCTGAGACACATCTTATTTAATGGTTTCACCATTGATAAGGAAAACATGAAAAGTGTGAGTACCTAAAGGCGAGTTTTTCGGTGTCCGGAGCCATTTAGCGCACTTTTCCTCCCCGTTTGTTTGGACTTTACGGCACGATTTGCGGTACAAATGACGCAAAAAACACAACTCGCCGAGACTGGAAACCGAGAGAAAGAAGGCTTGAATCGAGAAAACCCCGCGCTCATAACACGGTCGATCTATAAATAAATTCCATCCGTTCCTGCACGCTGTTCGTTTTGCTCCTTTTTTTAAATTAAACTGCCCACATCTTATAGACGACGCCACTTGAATGACAGTCGTTAGTCGACTTACATTTACGGCTAATGCAACTGTTTTCGCTTACCTATAAGAGACTTCTCATTGCTCTCCTGCTCCTGCTTCTCCTGCTCAGACTTCACTTTGCTAGGGCTGCTGGGGGGGCTCAGCGACGACAAACTCCCAGATGTAGCCGACAGGTTCTCCCTGCTGCACTTGTGGTCCTCCAAGGGAGACTTTGGGGCGAAGCCCAGAACTGGGGGCTGCAGGCTTTCGCCCGCCCGCTCCTCCTTGAAGAGGCACTTCGGCTCCAGATCATTCCTGTGGGCCACCTGTTTGGCCTGCGGCGTCGATTTGTACTTGGGAGAGGCCTCATTGGGAGTGGGAGACACGATTAGGCTGGACCTTTTCTCCTTGGCGTGCACGAAATCGTTATTGGGAGAGGTTGTGTCGTATTTGGCCACACTTGAGTAGATGTTGGGCAGAATGCCGCAGGAAACTGGCCGCTCTTTGCGTGCCAACGGCCGCTTTGAGGCCTCCGTCCGTACGGGAGGGTCTGGCGGAGGCGAGGTTGGAGGGCTGATGACTCTACAGGGAAAAAACGGATCAGTTGGTCCGGAGTGGATGCATGGTCAATTTTTCGGGCTTTTACCTGGAATTAGCAAAGGAAGAGCTTCTGGTGGCCAGTTTGGTATGAGCAGGCTCTTGTTCGCGGTTGTTAACTGCCAGTTTGACCTCAGCCTTGTTGGGGTCGCTGTGGTAGCGGGAGTTGCGGGTCTTGGAGAAATGCGACGTCCAGTTCTTCTGGCGCTCGATCAGCTCTTTGCTGTTGAACTTGCGCTCCGGCTTTTCCGGCTTCTTCATCAGCAGCGGCTTGGAGGGCTGCAGCTTCGGCTCATTTCCGTTCGCTTTGGCGTCCCCATTCAAACCGTTCGCTTTTCTCGGCTTGGAGGGCGAAGGCGAGCGCGAACTTTGCGATTTCGTCTCGCGAACGTCACTGTTTGCCGAACTGCTTCGCGACCGATCCAGCACATTGGACGCACTCTTGGTGCCTTGCAAGGGCACCACTCTGGCCGGTTTCGGAGCATCTTCTGAGCCGAGCTTCTCGAACATGGCCCGAGCATTGTTGAAACGGGCCACATGCGATTCGGTGCGCATCACTGTAACGGTCGGCGATTCGGCCTCGATCAGTTTTTCCGCGGAATTTTCGTGCAACTTTTGCGGTTTTCTGAGCGGCGCGAAGATTTCCTCCTTTTGATTGGGCACGCGGTTCTGGAAAATGTTCGCGATTTCTGAGACTTTCGAGCCGCCGAATCTGGGCGGGCCTTTTTTCTCGTCCATGTCGCACTCGATCTGTAAATGAACAAACTTCCAATGAGCTGCGATAAGATAAAAATTATTAATTAGATGATAAGTTGGCAATGAAAATTTGATTTATTGCGGTTTTTTTGCCGCAGTAAATCCTCCCGACCAGGTGGCTCAGTTTGCGCAAATACATAGGCCAAAACAGATTTATTGGGGCAAAGCAAGCATATGCATTGACACAGTAACCAGGATTAACCATCCAGCAAGCGGAACACCTGCTTCAACAGTTATTAAAAACGCCCAAGAGTAAACATTTACGCTTTCTGCACAAACTGGCAATTGGATTATTAAAAAACACTAATGAATGGTCCTCATTAGCACTGTTCACTCGATCACCAGCTAGTGTGTTTGTTACAAGTCACTCGAAAAAGGATTTTTTTCCACCTTGTAAGGACCGAAGCTACGTTCCAGATTGGTGCAAACAAACTCAGCAAATTGCATTTTTCCTGTGTTCATTTGAATCATAAGCCCAACATTAAACTAAACTGTTGGTAGAACGAGCTTTTCATGCATTTGTCAACTAACTAAAGATATACACAATGGCCTATAGTGATGAGCCCCAAACGTACAATATATACACTGTGTGTGTCACTTATTTCCTCCATATACAGGGCGTTTGGCAACTCGAAACAGCAGCTTTAAGTGCAACTACCATTCTCCAAACTTTTTCTCTAGGAATTTGATCAGGCGATCACAACAGAAATGTATTTCCAAAAAAGCAGTGGCGTATCAATTTATCAAAATAGTTTGGGGAAAACTGCACTAAACTGTTTACTTCAAATCATGGTTTCTGCTTTGAAAATCTGCAGAATTTCAAAAAATCATCCGCCAGAAGTTTGCAAAATATTCGCAAATTTTGGGCCTTTTTCATATGGGCTTATAGGGAAACATATGCAAAACAGCTTCTCCCATAATCTACAATCCACCAACGTAGCAAACACCCTGTATAAACCCATACTTACTTGAGCAATTTATTGGCAACTTATGTACTACACCAGAGTGTACAGCAACCTCTTATTTTGAGGTTACAACTTGACACAACTGCCAAACACTGTTGTAGTGTGTGAAAACAGTGACGTGACTGTTGTAGTGTGTGAAAACAGTGACGTGCCCAAACATTGACTACCAGAAACAGTATCAACACACTCAGACTCCAACACTAGTCTAGTTAGAATCTAAAAAGTGCACTGCAGATTCACAGCGCACTTGATAGGTTAAGTAAAATTGACAAAACTGCCAAAAAACTGTGGGCCTGTGCATGAAAATTAGTGTTCCGGGGAAGAAAACTAATGAATAAAGCTTGCCTTGCTAAAACATTGACTACCAGAAAGAGTATAAACACACTCAGACTCCAACACTAGTCTAGTTAGAGACTAAAAAGTGCACGGCAGATTCGCAGCGCACTTGATAGGTTAAGCAAAATTGACAAAACTGCCAAAAAACTGTGGGTCTGTGCATGACAATTAGTGTTCCCGGGAAGAAAACTAATGAATAAAGCTTGCCTTGCTTAAACATTGACCATTAGAAAGAGTCCATAAACAAACATGACCTCAACACTGGCATTTATGGACAAGAAGGTAGACGGCCTTAGAGCAACTACCTGATCATGTTCCGGAGTGTGCAAAAACGTCGTAAACTAGTTTTAAACACCGTGTAGGCTTGAAAACAATGCATATTTATCAGGTATCACAATAGCGTTTTAATGAGCAACTTGATACGTAACCCGTGCATGCACCAGTAGTATAACATGTCCAGTGGCAACATTTGCATGGAAACAAGGGCACAGCACCCGAGATTGAGGCTGCCGTATCGATTGTCGGCCACTTACCAGTTTAAAGGGCGTTTATCCTGGCAAAGTCAACAGCACAGCTCGACGAACAGCCCGGAAAGGGAGCAGTGCATAAGAGCCCGGCCGCGAAATTCGGCATAATTGGCGGACCACGCAAAGCAAGCCGATTTGCAACCAAAGCCGGCGGTTTAACGGCACTCTCACGTCAATCGAACATGACACTCGAATGATAACAGGAGAACAAGAATGAAAACATTCGTCTCGGACTGGTTTCCTTCTGTTGGAGACCGCACGAGAGCAACAACCGCAGTTTGTGCGTTGCGCAAGACGCTCACGCCCCGGGTGTTGACGACCAATCGGCCGTCGCGGTGCCAGCGCCGTCTTCAAACTTTTCAACTCTTCAA